ATAGATGGCGCTGTGTGTATTGGTATATGTCACATAGGCTACTTTTTATCCTTTTGAGACGCGAGCGAAGCCGCGGGTAAAAGCTAGTAACTAATAAAAGAGGGATGTTATATTTAGCATCATCTTGCTCAATATACTCCTATGGAAATTTTAAGGCATGAGTTTGCTCTATTTATTATTTTTATTCTGTGATTAAAGCCATAGTGATAACTTAGTTTATTAGAGTACCTACATTTAATAATTCTTTTGTCTCCAAATTGTCGTGATAGCTCGAAGGTTATTAACGTATGAGGATGTGATCTCGAGACTCGACAAGTATCAATGAAACTTTTACACTTATCAATGAACTGATATGCGATAAATATAACTTTTAGAATAATTTTAGGATCTGTGTGGACCGTGTTCTGAGAAAAGAGAAATAAATGGCATTCATTCATTAACTCGTCGAGTACCGGTTTTGCAGACACAATTATAGAACAATAGGTTGCGGTCACCGGTGACCGCTTGGTGTTTGACAGTTTAATTCAAAGGAAAATATTAAATATGACTAAATCTAGATTTATTTAACAACTAGCTTTTACCCGCAGCTTCGCTCGCGTCACAAAAGGATAAAAAGTAGCCTATGCGACATATACCAATACACACAGCGCCATCTATACCAATACTTTTGTTTTCCCTCGGGAATATCAATTTTTATTTTCCAAATCAAATTATTATGCATATTATATGTATACTGCGACATTTCAACCGTAAGATATTTCCGCATTTCCGTGGCCCTTTCGAATACGGGTTTCTTAGGGCATGCCCTATACGTACTCCTCAATGAACTTACACGTTTTTCAGTTCCCCTCATACATTTAGCACAATCGGAAGCCAAGAAACAAAACCACGAACAACAAGCGTTTTTTTTATCTTATTAAACACTCTACCTGATGGTAAGCGATCAGCGCCGCCCATGGACACCCGCAACACCAGAGGAGTCACAGGCCTTAGCGATAGCGACTTGGTTTTATACTATGTTGAGGTGACGTTTGCAGTAATCGCAAGTGCGACTGCCGGGCAAGCGGTCTCGGGTTCGATTCCCGGGTCGGGCAAAGGGCAACTGGGTTTTTAAAAAAAATCTCAGTGGTAGCACGAAGTCTGGAATGGTGCCCGGTATATGGCAATAGGCTCACCCTCTATTACATGGGACTCATAATATAAATAGTGAAAAGTGGGTGTTACATTGTACAGTGGTATTAAGCGCCGTAATGTGCACCTCTGCATCACCCTTCGGGAATTAAAGGCGTGATGTTATGTTATGTGATACGTTACCAATTATTACTTGTACTAGCTTTTACCCGCGGCTTCGCTCGCGTCACAAAATGATGAAAAGTAGTCTATGTGACACATACCAATACATACAGCGCCATCTATACCAATACTTTTGTTGTCCCTCGGGAATATCAAATTTTTTCGGGATAAAAAGTACCTTATTATTTAATCCAGACTACTAACTTTACGTCTGCAAAAATTCAATGCAATCGGTTTAGTAGTTACCGCGTGAAGTCGGAACAAACAAACAAACTCACTTTCCCATTTATAATAGTAAGGAAGGATAAGGATTAGAAAGTATTTATCAAGAAATTAAAAAGAAAAATCGCTAGTGGCTCCATTTCTTTGCTCCCATGTATGACTGTCCTTTGTCAGTCATTCACTCAGTTATTGATACAAAAAAAATACACTTCGTATACAAATGTCTTGACTATTTTGGTTTACCGCGACCGTTCGACAACTTTACTACCTTATTTTTTTACAGAGAATCAAAACCGGCTCAAAAACCGTCATTAAATATTTAGCACCTACATCTATAAACACAAACAACAACAAAAACTACGGAAACCAAACAAAGAGTGTTATGTCAACCCGTCCGTCTCAAGTATCTCGGAAACTGCTCGACCTAGAATGATAAATTTTGGCACAGATACAGGAAGTCGTGATCCAATTATGAACTGTTGGTACTCATACGACATCTGGTTGCATTCAACCTCAAACTTTTTACACTGCCTACTATAAAAATTACCTGTTTTCTTCTAGATTATTTTAAACTTCCTCTTCCGGTTTTTTGGCTATGTTGCCATGTGCAGAATATTTATTTTTAAACTTGTCGACAAATTTTGGATCATATTTCATTAATTTATAAGTGTTATAAATAATATTTATGTTTGTACCTAAATATCAAGTGTTTTATTGTGGCAATAAAGTATAATAAATCGAATCAATGAATAAATAACTGAAAAATAATATTTCCGTGGTTTCAATTAAATTGAACTTTACTATATTATTTGTATAAAATAAAATAATAATTTTAAATTATATTTCAATTATAGAACTATCTGCCCCAACAACGGCGAACACTACCTAACTGGGTTCGATTCCAGAAGTGTAAGTAAGTAAAGTTTTTTTTATTTATATTTTGATGGGCCGACGTTTGACCTCTATCTCGCCTCCCATAAGCAACCTATCACTCGGGCCTTGAAGACGCCCAGGTTATATTGGGAAATACTGATTATTTAACTCGTCGAGTACCGTCTATGTAGACACAATTATAGAACAATAGGTTGCGGTCACCGGTGACCGCTTGGTGTTTGATAGTTTAATGGTTTGCCAGCTCTCATTACAACGCTGAAAGTATATCAATCTTTTCACTGTCTGACCAAAAACTAAAACCATAGATAAGTAAAGGACATTGCTCTGCGTCCATACCTATATATTTACCATACATATATATTTTCGGGTCTGGGTGTCATTGTGTATGTGAACTTGTATGTTTGTAAACGCACCCACGACACAGGAGAAAATCCTAATGTGGGGCAACGTTTTTTTATAAAAAAAAAAGAATACATTGTTGGCCCTGGAGCCAAGAGTATCGAATAATTATGTATTGTATTCTCTATCATTTGTAGACTCCTAGAAGATCTTGCGGATTAGCTGCAGAAAAGACATATTTCAATAAAAGTATCAGATTTTGAGGTTATAATCTAACCATAACAACGAATATTGAATGTTTGGATGATTGTATAGAAATAAAGAAGTTTTGATTACTGTATAATATTATTCCTACTACCTATTACGATGCGTACGGCGCGTCGCGTTCCGCGCGCGCCTCAAAGAGCCATCAGACCACCACAGATGGGGCCCAATAGAGCCGATGCCGATTCGGAGTCGCGGAAAACCTAACGGGTAACCGGGGCTCCGGCTCGACGTGCAGGAGAAGGAACGGGGTGGTTTTTAGTCAGTAAGAGTCTGACACTCCCTCCCGCCTCACCCAGACGGGAGCCGTCATTCGATGATATTCCCCCCTTAAAAAAAAACTACCTTTTACGACTATTATTATTTATTACACTAGGCGAAGGCATTTGACATTAGTCGAAGATGGCGATCTAATGTTATTAATCGCGTTAAATTCTATTAAAAGTACATTTTGGAATACAGCTAGTCGGTGGCACAGAAGGGTTTGCAACTTATATAATAATTATTATATATTCTGATTCTCTTTATTACACAGGGCCATTTTGGACATTTAAATAATACTATTTCCCGGCAAGTTAGCCAGACTTTACAATCACATTTCACAATACTCGTAAACAACAGTAGCAATTACCGCAATGAATTCTTATGACCCTTCACCTCGTTCTAAATCAAAGGACCATCAGCCAAATCAGGATCCAGAGGGTATTCCAAGGTCATTTGCAAACTACTCACATCCTCATCAAGATCGCAATTATATCGTTCAACTCAATCACGACAATTATTTAATCCTCCATTTGTCCTCCTTTTCTGATGAAGTACGGAAGAACGAGATGCAAGAACAAATTTTGATTTAAAGAGGGATTGTTCTAGTTTTATTTATTTGAGAGTCAATTTCCGTTGGCGGGTTTGGTGATGTGAATCATACATACATACATAACTTCACGCCTGTCTCCCATGGGGGTAGGCAGAGACTATGGAACGCTAATTGCTACGATTCCAATATACCTCATTCGCTTCATCCACAGTCATCAATATTTTAATGCATGCTCCTCGGTTAAGGGTAGTTTTAATTTGGCCCTTCTTTAATATATCGCCAATCTGGTCAGTATATGGCCGTCTAGAGCGCCCTCTACCGACGGCCCCATTCGTATCCGCTCTGTATACTTCTTTCGTGAATCAATCAATCAAGAAATTAATTTATTGATAACATTATGGTGTCATGGCCTCATAGTGTGTCCAGTCCTGAACGGTAATCCAAAATCATGAATTTCCATATTACTCTGTAACGAACAGCCTTTTGAAATAAACTTTTCTATTTAGGATAACAATAAAATTCTCAGGACGTAACTTTCATTTTTCCTAATCATTTTCTTGGTGTGCTTAAGAAAAGAATTGTTCCAACCATATCTGTATAGATCTCTACTAAATATTTTAATTTCATCATCAACAACAGCCTATAAATGCCCACTGTTAAGCAAAGCCTCTTCTCCCACGGAGAAGGTTTGAGCATTAATCATCACGCTTGCTCAATGTGGGTTGGCGATTTCAAACTTATAATTAGAAATTATATACTTACCCAGGTTGCCTGATGATGTTTTCCTTTACCGTTTATCTGTGTGGTGTGTAAATAATCTTAGAAAGTACATATAACTAAGAAAACGTCACATTGATACTTGCCATTGGTTAGTTTCGAAACCATATCTACTCTCATGCATGAGAAACGGGCGTCTTAAACCTCTGGAGCACCACGACGTATATTTTAATGTACTCAAAGTGTATTTGACCCGTCAAAACTCCATAGAAGATAAAAGCTAAAACCTCTATGGTAAACTTTATTTTTTTTCTACGGTTATCAACACGACGCCGTTGCCAAGGAAACAAAATAAACAGCGGAGCACCGAAGACCGAAAGAGATTTTTTACCAATTTTTACCCGTTTTAGTTTTTAGTAGTTATTTGTAAATATTTTTAGTGTTTCAATTGTTTAAGTTTTAGTGTTATCTTCCAATATGGATGACGACGAAGATTTCCAAGTGGCGATTGCCATCGGCTCCGAGACCACCGAAGCGGAGAGAGAATATGGCATTGTAATTATCTTTTGTATACTAGTTGCACACCCCGGTTTTACACGGGCGCTAATTCCTTATACGTTTATTACCTATATGTAGTTTGTCTCAGATATGAAGAACTTTCTAGGGCGTCCCCGGAATCCCGTACTACACTATCATCACATCGAATCGCGTTGATGACAAACGCATTTATAAACAAACTAGCTGTTGCCCGCGACTTCGTCCGCGTAGAATAATGACTTCTGGCAGAATTTAGGCTTTTGAATTAGTTTTTATCACGGGATATTCTACGGTAATGGATATCGTCAGAATTGATTCAGTCCTGTAGATGATAGCGTGATAATATGTAGCCTATATGTTTACCAGACTTGTTAGTAATATTCATGCAAAATTTGAAATAGTAGTGCAGTACTTTTTGAGATCATCACGGCCATACATACAGACAAACAGACAAAAATTCTAAAAACCACATTATTGGCTTCGGTATCGATTAGAGATCACGCTTCAAATATTCTTTTAAAAAATATTCAATGTACAGTTTTGACTTTTCTACGATTTATTATATGTGTAGATAGCTGTTGCCCGCGACTTCGTCCGCGTAGATTAATGACTTCTGACAGAATTAACCAGAATCAATTCAGTGCCCAAGTAAGATTTACCTATTTTGAAATGATTTATCGTAGTTTCAATAAATAAATAATCCCGCAGGGATCTTACCAGTACAGTGCCCGATCACGTAAGGTTTGAGTAATAAAAACTATTCTATCGACTATTGTTGTACCGAATCTCTCTAGAATAAGTTCAGTGGTTAAGAGTTAGAGAGTCCTGGGGCATTGACGCATAGTTCCCGTTCTCGTGAGACATCTGTGAAAAAACTATCATACGTTACCCAGGTCCCAAATCATCGTTTTACCGAATGTAATTCAAAAAGATTCAATGATTCTAAATTCAACGGCTAAGAAGATTTATACAAACTCTCATTCCCTATTTTATCCCCTTAGGGGTGGAATTTATCAAAATCCTTTCTAAAGAGATACCTATGTCATAGTAACTTTATGCATGCAAAGTCTCAGCCCGATCAATTTAAAACTGGCAAAGTATCATACTTTGGGGTGAGAATGTTCAAAAACCTTTCTAAAGGGACGTTTACGTCATAATATCCATCTGCACGCCGAATTTCAACCCGATCGGTGTAAAACTGACAAAGCCTCACACAAACGTTCATCCCCTATTTTACCCCCTTGGTGGAAATTATCAAAATCCTTTCAAAGCGGATGCTTACGTCATAACATCTATCTGCATGCCAAATTTCAACCTGATCGGTTTAAAACTGACAAAGGCTCATATAAACTTTCATCCCCTATTTTACCCACTTGGGGGTGGAAATTATCAAAATCCTTTCACAGCGGACGCCTACGTCGTAACATCTATCTGCATGCCAAATTACAACCCGATCGGTTTAAAACTGACAAAGTCTCATACAAACTTTCATCCCCTTTTTTACCCCCTTGGGGGTGGAAATTATCAAAATCCTTTCAAAGCGGATACTTACGTCATAACATCTATCTGCATGCCAAATTACAACCCGATCGGTTTAAAACTGACAAAGTCTCATACAAACTTTCATCCCCTTTTTTACCCCCTTGGGGGTGGAAATTATCAAAATCCTTTCTTAGCGAATGCCTACGTCATAACATCTATCTGTATGCCAAATTTTAGCCCAATCTGTCCAGCGGTTTGGGCTGTGCGTTGATAGATCACTATGTCAGTCAGTCAATCAGTCAGTCAGTCAATCACCTTTGAATTTTATATATATAGATGTTTATCTAGATCTATTATTATCTATTTCAGCTTTGCATGCCACCTATGTACATACATAACATAATATCGCTATGACTGTAAGTGTAAGCAGTTAGGAAACAATTCATCAACGCCCACAATATTCACTGCTGAACATAGGCCCCCCCTAGCAATGAATGCCAAGCCTACAACCGGCCGCGAGCGAGCTGAATTCATTGTTATTATAAAAAAACTTATTTTATAATTCAACTATCCTGTAAGTTTTATCAGTAGACGTCGCGGCAGGCCCAAAAGGAGATGGTGGGACGAATTAGACATCTATGACAAGGATTGGCCGCAAAAAGCTTTACATAGAGAGGAGTGGAAGGAGGGTAGGGAGGCCTTTGCCCTGCAGTGGGACGATCATGGCTGAAAAAAAAAGCAGTTGCTGATCATGTCAGATAAACCCGTTATCTTCAATTGTGAAATCAAACACTTGTTAATCGATTATGCAGTTTAATAGTTTTATCATGAAGGAGTTACTAGAACAAAACTCATTACACAATCGGACAAGAAATCTCAGGTTCAATCTCCGAGCCGGATAACTTGGTCTACGTTTTTGTAAAATAAAAGTAGCCTATGTTACTCCTTAGTACATTAGCTCTCTGCAAATAGAATTGCCATCAAAACCGATCCAGCTAATTCAGAGATTAGCCAGTACAAACAGACAGACAAAAATTGTAAAAAGTCTTATTTTGGTATGTGTATCGTGTGTATATTCATATTCGTACGTACATACGTTACACACATTATCGTATGTATATACAGCAGAAGGCATCTTGGCATTTTATAGGCAATGTTACTCTCACTAACAGCAATTCACACCAAACCTTACCTAGCCCCACCCCCCATATCCTTATGCATAAGCGGTCATTTCAATATTACAAACTGACACTCCAATTTTATTGAAGTATCTGTATAGATTGTATAATTAATTATTTGGCTTTTGCTCTGAAGTTTTCGACATAAAAAGTGTTAGAGAGCCCTGCTTCAGAATGAATAGGCCGGCTCGACCGGAGCGATACCACGGCCTCACAGAAAACCGACGTGAAACAACGCTTGCGTTGTGTTTTGTCCTGTGAGTAAGGTTACCGGAGGCCCAATTACTCCCCCTCCCCAGTCTCCCCAATCCCCGAATTCCCCACAATCTTCGAATTTCCAATTCCCAAAAGGCCGGTAACGCACTTGTAACGCCTCTGGTGTTTCAGGGTGTCCATAGGCGGCGCCGATAGCTTACCATCAGGTGATCCGTCTGCTTGTCTACGTCCTTGTGTCCATCAGCTCGTGTATCCCATAAAAAAAATCTACTTCTACATTACATACTCTTCTCTTCTGTCTTCTGTCAGGTCCTGGAGCAGCTGCGTGATTCAGAAGGTATGAAGTTCATTACCGATGTGTACACCAAACTGTACGACACGTATTACAAGCTGAAAGAGGAGAATGCACAACATTGCGAGGCGAAAGAGGCACTCAAGGTGAGAAATATCTCTTACTACCTACTTCTGCGCGGTTTCACACGCTCTGCTCAGCTCCTATTGGTCGTAGCGTGATGTTTTATAGCCTATAATCCTTGATAAATGCACTATCTAACACAAAAAGAATTATTCAAATTAGACTTGTAGTTACGGAGATTCCGTTCAAACAAACAAACAAACTCTTACGCTATATGAGAGTATGAGATTATACTTTTTTTAAAAGGTTTTCTGTTTCTTGTAATAATCCAATAATTGGAAGTGGAAACTATCGTTTTTTTTCTTCTCCTCTTATAATATCTTCTGACTCACTTCGTTGCGGGAACCAAGATAGTTATTCATGTCCCTGGGACGCGCCGGACTTCAGTGTTCCGGTGTTTTCATGGTTGTGTCTACTGTAGATCCTGGCTTACAGGAGTTGCAGCGGTTTTGGGAGGTTGTGGCAGACTTGTCCCATTAAAAAAAAACTGTCAAAAACGACAGTTTTCTGCATATTTTGTACGAGATTGTGTATTGTGACGTCACGTTCAAAGAGCATACTTATTTTTTAAATATTTGCTGGATAAATACTAAAATTAAATTGGTCATAAAATCAATTAATGAAAGTGTGATTATTTTTTATTATCTTATTGTATTGAAGGATACGCAAATTATTATGAACACTTAATTTCTTTAGATAAGTTAAGAAATAATTATACTGAACCTAATTTTAATAATCTCCATTAAACAGCATTTTTTACAACCAAAATTATGAATAGTTTCTAATGCAAATAATTTTATCTACATTTTAAGGCCAAACTGGGTCGCTTCGATGACACCGTAACAGATTTCATGGCCGAAATAGCAGATAATCACAAAGTCATCGAAAAACTACGAACTGAAATCAGTAAGTTGACAGTTTAATAAAAAAAACACAATTAAATTACTTAATTTAAACTTTTACTGGGGTTTTTTTTCTATAATCATTATATTTTCGCGCCTACTTATGAGGCTTGATGATGACTTCCCATTATTATATTTGTTGGGAAACACAGATACCGGCAGGGAATTCCATTCCTTAGCAGTTCACACAAGGAGCCTCGACGCGAAACGCCTCGTGCGAATTGATTCTTGTAGTTAATTGGGAAATCGAATATAAAGTAACCCTTTCGTAAGAGCGTATGGTACGTATGGTAGAAAGATCGACAGCATAACACTGGTTTTTGTATCTCTCTTCATCGCTTATTCTCTTCTCTACGCTGACAGAGGAAGCCCAAGCTCTAGCAGACGCGATGCACGCTCGAGAGCTGACCAGCGTAGAGAGTCTAGAGACTATGAAGAAACAGATCGTCAGACTTGAAAAGGAACTGGATGCTAGGAAACGAGCTGGTGAAGAAGATGCGTAAGTATTTTCTTTGTGGATCTTGTTTTTATTCTATACATATAGGAAAGTGAAAACTGTACATCGAATATGTTTTTAAAAGAATGCTCTGGGCGTGATCTACAGTCGATGTAGAAACCAAAAATATGGTTTTTAGAATTTTAGTCTGTTTGTCTGTATGTAGGTATGTCCGAGATGTACTCAAAAAATCCTGGCTTACAGGAGTTGCAGCGGTTTTCGGAGGTTGTGGCGGGCTTGTCCCATTTAAACGATAACTATCGTGGGGCATATTGAATTAAGTAAAAGTTATAATAATTTACTCACGTAAATATATTGTGAAACACGAATACGCACGCGCACGCTCCTCGTGAGAAAGAGTCCCTCTGTGGCCCGAAACTAGTAGAGCTTCTCAGAATATTCACCCGTGTAAACAGTTATTTTTGTTAATTCATAGCTGAACATAGGCATCCAACAGTTTAGGTCACCTGTCATTGTATCAACATCAACAATATCAACAGTCTATAAGTGCCCACTGTTGACCAGAGGCTTCTTCTCACACGGAGAAGACTTGAGCATTAATCACCACGCTTGCTCTTTGCGGGTTGGCGATTTCAAACATATAATTAGAAATTATAAGCCCAGGTTGTCTCACGATGTTTTCCGTTCACCGGTTGTCAGTGATGTCTAAATAATCTTAGTACATATTACAACTCGGAAAAAGTCACATTGGTACTTGTCGTTAGTAAATTTCAAACCCGCACCGCACACTCTGCATGAGATGCGAGCGTCTTAAGGTCTGTGCCGTCATAATATGTCATCATATAAACAAGAATGAGCCAATGAAGACAATTGTTTGATCAGAAATCTTAAAATTCTACGGATTATAAGTAGATATAGATAGATGGACTGTCGAAACTGGCAATTCGTCTGTCGATCGTGGGTCCTTGCCACGAGGTCTCACGTAAGATTACGAATGGAACACAGTGTTACCAAATATTGTGTTTTCTAGCTAACGTCTTACTTAATGCTAGCAGACAAGTGTGACTCATAAATTGTAACTTGTCACTTCGTTGGTATTACGAGCAGAGCCATCTTAAAGTCATCGCTCACCTAACAAGTACGGATCCGGCACGGTTCCAACCCAGCAATTAACTTGCCATTTAAATATGGACTTTAAATCGTATGGCGTATGACATATTTCATAACTAAATTAACTAAAAATGCGGGTTAGTCACTTGAATATATCCGGAAGCAAACTCTCATGGTGTCCCGGCAGAGGGCGCATTGGGCTCGCAGCGCAAGTAGCAACACCGATGCGAGCGCCAATGCCAAGCCAGTGAGCTGTGCGACATCGCCGCGACCGCTTTGCTGCTCATAAGGAAGAACCCCTCTGTGGTTCGAAACTAGTAGAGCTTTACTCAGTATATTCACGTGAGTAACCCGCAGTTTTTGGTTAATTTAGTATGTTTTACAATAGTTATTATAAAAATATTTCATAACGTCAATATAAAAAAAGCTGTAAGCGTGCCGCCCGCGCGCTGCCTTCCATATTGTTTTCCAAGGAAAATCCGGCCGGAGCTATGGTTAGTAGGTCTACGATGACTATTTGACTACGCTGCGGTCCTTGAGCACACAATGATTCGGGAGCCTTTTCCAATGTTTTTTTTTTTTACGTAACCCCACACTAGGCTTAAATCTTCTGAACCGTGGGTGCGTTTACAAACATACGAGTTCACATACAAATGACACCCAGACCCGGAACTATAATTTGTGAATAACACAAAGATTTGGTTCATGAGGGAATCGAACCCGCTACATATTGCACGGCAGTCGGTTATCGCGCATCGTGTAGTCGTGTATGTGTCCGTCGTAGAAATTGTGGGTCCTTCGGGGCCCCTTAAAGATGGGGTCCTGGGCACGGGCCCCGAGTGCCCTGTTAAAGACGGCACTGGTTACAGGTATACATAAGATGATCGGTCTGCTCGTTTACCGTCCTAATCTTAATCTCACTGCTGTCTTTTCAAAAATAACGTTCATGAATCTTTTAGTGGAGCAACATCAGCGGCTAAAGAGAAGGAGAAGTTTGAAAAAGAGAAAGCACGTCTTCAAGCTGAGCTAGATGCCGTTAAACAAAGGCTCGCCAACTCCGTGCAGTATGTGGAGGAACTGGAGGCGAAAAACCATAATAAGGAAGTTAATATATCCAAACTTGAGGAGCAGATTGAGGTGAGAAGACTTTGAAGGTTTTTACTATGTGACCGTGGCTTGGTATCGAATGTCTGTAAAGTTAATCGGATGACGAGAAAAATATAATTTATCCAGGATACAATAATTGGTTGATAGGGTGGTATGAAAAATTGAACAAGGCATAAAATTATTATGTTTTCGGCCTACTCACGTAATAATTTAGCGAGGAACTCGACTAGTTTCAAGCCATGCTAAAGGCTCATATTCATGAGCAGCATTTCGCGACCCGCGACGCGAAATTATTACGTGAGTGAGCCGAAAACATAATAATTTATTTAGTATTCCTCACGAAAGTTACAATACAAGGCATAAAATTTAGAAACAGCTAGGTGTGCATTTTTATGCAGCAATAATTGAGTGAATAGGTTGCTTATGGGACGACGTGCTCTATCGTAGACCGCATTATCGCTTACTACCAGGCGAGATAGTGATCAAACGTCGGCCCATCAAATACATAAAATAAAATTGTGTACTTTTTATGCCAACAAGTAAAACAGTACAAATTTTAAGTCCTGTAACCTGTCTCACGAGCAAATAGGTGTTATGTTAGAATTCCAAGTAAGAAATATTTTTTTTCCGAATTCCTAATTTTCGAAAATCCTTTTCCTACCTATGAATTACATTTCAGGAAGCTGAAAACAACGCGGTTCGTCAGAATCGTCTGGTAGATCACCTGAAGGATGAAACGACGGGCCTCAAGGCAGAAGTGGACACCAGGGGAGGCACCATCAGCACCCTCAGTGATAAGGTACGGATATATCAACCTGAATACTTTATTTTCTTTAGGGAATGGGGTAAATAGCTATACCTATAGCTAACTATAAGAAACTATAAAATGAATAAAACAAAATAAAAACTATAGAAAGAACAAAAGAAAAAACGAACAGATTATAATTTGATCTTTATCATCTTCTTTTTGATATTTATTATTTTATAAATGATAATATTTTTTTGGCGGACATTTACACACTTGAGTCAGTTCATAAAGAAAAATATGAATGGTTTTACTATAATATTAACGTAGTGGCTATTTTGGACCTTTGGTCTTTTCACACATTAGTACAAAAGAAGATCCTTGTTTAAATTTTACAATAATTGTTTCTCATCTAAAAGCTAATGAAAGCAGAGAAAGCCATAGACCGTCGGGACCGCCAGTTGACTAGCATGACAACGAAACTGGAAGCAGCTCATGCTGAGCAAGAAGCAGCTGTGAACAAGAGCACGCAGCTTAGGGAACAAGTGGATCATATGAACTCAGAACTAGACAAAGCCAGGACTCAACTCAATCATACTACTAAAGAACTTAAGGTAAGAGTTGCACAACTTAATTCTTCCCAGTCCATTTCCCCATCGCACTAGACAAACGACAAACGTTTTATGGTAGATGTTCCACTCACTCGAACGAATCGTTTCTCTTCATGTTTCCTTGCGCGAACCGCTAAAGCGCTCCTTAGTGGAAGATTCTGTGATTCCTGAAGGGGATAACTTAGGTATCCTCAAGCCTTCATCTTTGACTACTTTATCGCGTAGAATAGGTAAAATAGTAGCCAAACGTCGACTGACATATAAAATCAGATCGCTTATCATCAGGTGATCCGTCTGCTCGTTTGCCTCCTATTCCATAAAAAATAAAAAGGGGCTCCAAGATAGAGAAGCCTTAATTTACAGTAACTGAGTAAAGCTCTTCCTGTTTCGAGTCATAATGGGACTCTTATTCATGGGCAGCGTGCGCAACGCGAATTGAAACTGGAAGATTTACTTAATATAATAGATAAAAAAGTAATTGATAATGAAAAACGTATGCTTTATCTTCTAGAACACGATCGACGACAGTCACAAAATACGTAACGAAGCGTCGAAGCTTATGAAGCAGGTTCTGCAGCAGACCAAGAAGTACCAGATTCTGGAACATAGCAAGGTTGGCGTTGAAACTGATCGGTGAGAACAAGATAATATATTTCATTGCTTTGATAATATGTCGTATGCATACTAGTCATAAGTTCAAATACTCGAACACCACTCATTTTAACGGTTTTAAACGCTATAAAAAATAGTCCTGTCTCTTCATATTCTTTAAAAACATAACATCACGACCATCATCGCAGGTCCCACCGGTTGTATTCGATGGCACTACATTAACGTATAGCGACTCCGTGAAGGATTTGGGTGTTATTATAGACCGGGACTTTACTTGGGGACCCCAGCTGGGGGAGGTCAGTCGGAAGATGTTTGCTTCGGTGAAATCGTTACGTAGACTGCGGAACTTTCTTCCTACTGCTACCAAAATTGCGCTCGCTCAATCACTTCTTCTGCCCATCCTTGACTATGCCGATGCCAGCTATCTAGACATTACTGAAGTACAGCTAAATAAGCTTGAGCGGCTCCAAAACTTCGGTATTAGGTTCATATTTGGTTTACGCAAATATGACCATATTTCCGAATATCGCAACAAACTCAAGTGGCTTCCAATCCGCCTTCGCCGGAATATGCATGTCTTGTCCTTACTCTACAGTATACTGTATAATCCTGTAACCCCTAAATATCTTAAAGAACGTTTCAAGTTCCACCATGACACACATTCAAGATCCCTGAGAGCGTCGGAGAGGTTGAGGCTTGGGATGACTCAGCATTCTACTAAGGCATATGATAAATCTTTTACGATCCAAGCTGTTCGCCTGTGGAATGCACTCCCAGTGTCGGTGAGACAAGCACAGTCACTTGCTTCCTTTAAAGCTAAAGTTAAAGATTATTATTTGTCTACGTCATGAATCGTATTAGCTCCTTTATATACTTATTTAGATTGTATATATATATGGTTATGTATATGTATTTATTTATATATATATTTGGTATGCATGTATGTGTATATAATTTAGTATATATATATATATGTTTGTTTATTTATTTTGTTAGTGGTTAATATTTATGTATGCCTGGACTACCCTATTAAATTAACCATCGTTCCATACACCCAAAGGTTGCCTGGTAGATATCGCTTTTAGCGATAAGGCCGCCCTTGTACCCTCCTTATTCTTTATAATATCCGAATATGTGTAATTACTTACTTGGTGTACAATAAAGCTTATTTATTATTATTATTATTATTATCACGCCTTTTATTCCCGAAGGGGTAAGCATTACGGCACTTAAGGCCACTGTACAATGTTACCCCCACGTTTCACTATTTATGTTAAGAATCCCATGTACCTATTGCCTATTACCATATACCGGGCACATTTCCAGACTCCGTGCTACTAATGAAAAATTCAGTAATATCGGGATTCAAACCCAAGACCCCTGGCCCGTCTGCCGCACTTGCGACCTCTCGGCCAATGAGGCAATCATACATAATTATATTACTAAGAATCCCGACAATATACCTAAATCCCAATAACATTCTCCACACATCTACTATTCTCTCACATATCTAACTTATAAATCATGGTGTTATTGTTCACGGTACAGTGAGCGTCTCAGGCAACAAGTGACTGTGATGGAACGCGACCTGATGATCAGCAAGAGGCAGGCGGAGGCCGACAGGAGAGATATAGAGAACTTGAAGCGAGAGAAAGACATACTCACTAAGAACATGCAGAAGATACAAAGTACGTAAATGTCTATATTTACGATTCTGATTTATCATCATCAGCACCTCTATCAACAACATCATCAACAGTCCAATAATCACGATTATCATCAGCTCCGTTATCATCACCAGCACTTCCATCGGTACTGATTCTGCCTTCATCAACATTATCAACTTATCGACTCCTGCTTACACCACCCTACGATCATAAACTCCACCATCGTCATCAATTGCACTATCATAATGAAGAGCAGTGGAGTCATCATTAGCAGCTGTATTAACAGAGACACTAATGTAATTTACCAGATGAAGCACTAGAGAACCTGAACATGCTGGACCTGCAGGAGCAGAGACGCAAGCAGTTGGAGCATGAGCTGGAGACCAACTCTGCGCAGATACACAAACAGAGGCTCATGATACGCACCTTTGAGAAGGATAAAGATAGGTAAAGTAGACTAGAAGACCCAATTTCCCCGTCACCCTCCCCAATCTTCAAATCAGTAGTCGTCCTTGTCCATGGGTAGTGCTGATTGCTTTTGCTGATCGGTCTTCTCGTTTGCTGGTCCATCCTATATAGACAAATATTCTGGAAAAATAGTCCACTAGTCCAGCTTTGACAAAGATACTACAAACCTAATCATCATCATAATTTGAAAATTATTTCTTTTTCAGAATGCTGGAGGAGACAATCGCTCTAAATGAGAAAATTGATGAAATAACAGGTACGTAAACTTCAAGAACTTTAGAAAAAATACAGAATTTAAAGAACAATAAAAACATATGGATAATTAATAATCAATTAGTCTGAATTATAAATCAAAAATCTGCTCCGCAGAGGAGGTTCGTCTCCGTACGGCTGATATCTTGGACCTGAAGAAGGCACTTCGCGAGGAGACCATAAAATCTCGCAAATTGTCCGTCGCCCTGGATGCTACTAGAGCTGAGAGAAACATGCTGCATAAGAACTATACTGAGGCCCTGGATGAAATTCAGGACCTGAAACAGAAGATGAAGGTAAATTCGTGAAAAAGCTAATCAAATCAGATTTTTTACCTTCCTTACCTTTGTGGCTGGCCGTGTTACTCTTTCATGCATTCATGACTTTTCTTGTGTACCCGTAGTCAATCGGTGGTCACTGGTCGCCTACTATCAGGTGATCCATATGCTTGTATAACCAAATCCATAAAAAATAAATGTCGGGAAATATTAATCTGAACATTAATAAAAGATTTAGCTGATCACCTTCGAAATAAATCCGTTTTAGCATCAAAACACGGATAAAATGCAGAATTCATTATAGTAAGTACCATTCTGCATTTTATCCGTATCCTCTCAAAGAAAAAAAATGAATGATTCAAACATAAGAATCTCTATCTTCGTCTATCCCTTCTCACTCTACTCCCAATTCAACAGATGCTAGCATATCAAATAGAACAGCTGAAAGAAGATATAAGCGGCAAGGAATCTGGACTGAAGTCCTGTGAAGGTTTCCTCGGGAAATGCAATAAGAAAAATGAACAGCTACGGATGGAGATTCAGGCCGGACTCGCGAAGTTGTCCGAAGCGAGGGCTGACATAGCCGCCCTGAGGCAAGAGGAAGCTAGGCTCAATAGGATCGTGCAGGTTTGTCACATCTGCTTATTTTCATAGACTGGTAGACATTATCATTATCATGATCATCATCTTTATTTTTTCTTTTTTAAAACTTTGCCCCACACTAGGATTTTCTCCTGTGTCGTGTGTGCGTTTACAAACATAAAAGTTCACATACACGTACATCACACCCAGACCCGAAACAACAATTTGTGGATCACTTAATTGCTCCGCGCGGGAATCGAACCCGCTACACATAGCGCGGCAGCCGGTTGTGTAGCCACCGCTCCAACCGTGCATTCATCGTCAGGTTATAATGGTCCCTTTGTCATGACTTGCCGCGACACCATAATTTTAAGCAGACGTTATTTAGATGTTCAGTTATTTTGCTTTGGAGTATGGAGACTTAATAGATTGGTGTTGTTAAATTATCTCACTACTACTGGTCAAAATTCTGAACTTTCTATACGAGGAAAGAATGAGTATCGGTCTGAAGTCCACGCTTACACTTAGCGGATTGGAGATTATTGAGTTATAATTAAATTATAAGTCCAGGTTTTCTCAAGATGTTTTTCTTCGCTTCGGTGGTTTTTAGTCAGTAAGAGTCAGAGTCTGACACTCCCTCCCGCCTCCACTGAGAACGCCGCCAGGCGGGAGCAGTCATTCGATGATTTTCCTACCTTACAAAAAAAAAAAGTGTTCGATAGAGACACTAAAAGGTTCTGCGAAATTAATAATAACAGTTTTAAAAAAAGAGCTTTAATTAACCTAATACAGTTAATATCTATAAAAAATGAACAGATTATATCATTTTGTCATTACTATGATCTAGTTTTTTATTCCTACTTTTCTCACAACTTTCCTACCAAAAAAGTGTCCTATAATTCCTCAAGGTTAGATATAAAAGTGTAATTCATATCAAATTACAGAACAAATCGGTTTGCAGAGAAATAATATTAGCAATTAATTAGTAAAATTGTTTTGCTTGAAAAGCTATTTTTATGCCCATTATTGTACCAACATCGATATTGTTCTCAGAAAAGATCAATAAGATAACATCGACTTTTTATTCCACGGTGTTTTTTTGCTTTTCTGTAAGTGATTCGTTTCTCTGAATCATTTGTGTCGAGGTAACTTTACAAACTATACAACTATCCGTTAAAGTGTCAAATTAATGGCAATTAGAGTTTTAATGCTAATATTATATTAATTTACCTATAGTAGCTTTTCTCCTGCGGGCCCATCTACCAATTTAGGTTTTTTCTCGAGTAGGCCCCAATCCAGTGTAGAAAGTGGATTTTGTGATAATGAATTAATTGTTTAAATCAGCTCAAAGTATTTTGGAATGCGGTGCACAGAAAGAAAATTAATATCTAAATTAAACTGTCAAACACCAAGCGGTCACCGGTGACCGCAACCTATTGTTCTATAATTGGGTCTACAAAACCGGTACTCGACGAGTTAATTTGCCTTCACATAAAGAAAACAAACAAATCCAACATATTAGATTTTTATATAATTTTTATACGATGAAAAACGTTAATACGTTTTCAAATAAAGTCCTCTCGTCAAACTTCATCCATCATTTCACAAATGTTCTTTGATTAGGAAGGTGACGCAGCTCGTGCGAAACTCATCAAGGAGTTGGAAGGTCTGATGAACGAGCGTGATGTGGTCGGCGCTCAACTTGTGAGAAGAAACGATGAGATCTCTCTGCTTTATGAAAAGATACGGATTCTCGAGGTCACGCTGCAAAGAGGTAACTTATAATTTGTCGATAGCGTTACATTGTTGGCCTCGGTTTGTCTTATGCGCCTGCCAGACTATGCTGCTCATCGCTATGCTCCTCGCACTGCCGTGATTTGCCGCGATGTTGCCCTCTCTGCCCACACACTGGTCTACTCGCGCAATTATTCGCGACGCTCCAATTGCTGGTCCTCGTTGCCTCCTCGTATTGCCGGTCCTTAGACTCGTACGCAAGGGGTGCGGTGCCAGAAGACCTCCCCGTGGTGCACCCTGGGTGCGGGCGACAGTCTCCCTAGCGGGGGTGATAGGGTTGGAGTGACTGTCGCCCGCAGCAGACTTCTGGACTGGGCGGGCGAACCCGATAGGGTTCTGGAGGCGGCGGGCTGTGTGCTCATGGCCCGCGCTTCCGTGGGGCGTTTCTCCGCCTGTCTCTCTGATTAGCAGAGAGCGTGGCGGAGAGGCAAGGGCGGTGCTCGTTGTGCACTCACCCTGCCAGCGAGCAGCATCGGGACACAAGCTGTCCCCGATTGCAGCCGTCGATATCGTAATCCGTAAGGAGGTCACGGTCATGTTTTGTGACTCTGAACGGGACGAGGGTCTTGGCTTGGTCGCCCGGACCGCGAGGAAGATAACCTCTATAAAAAATTCCTCCAATACTAAGTTCTGGTGCGCGGCGAGAGTATGCATGGCTGAGGAGTAGTGTCAGTCGCGAGCGCACCCCCAGCTAGGGGACCAGTGGAACCTCTAGTTGGGAAACAAATTAACACTTACCCAGGTACAGGGGGCACTGCCTGGGTGGACCGAATATTTCCCCCATACTCGTGGGAATTTTATGGAGTTGAACACAAAATTAAATAAAACCACACAACCGGAGGAGGAGAGTGCGGGTGAGCCTAGCTCGCCTGCAGTAGTAGGAGAAGGGAGCCCAAGGGGCTCTGGCGCCCGTGGGGAGACGCTGGACACGTCTAGCGTGCCCCACACACGGGCATCAATTCGGATGGGATCGGAATCCGAGTCCGACACATCGCTGGCGGAGCGACTGAGCGCGAGCTCGAAGGGCTCACGCCGTCGCGTGACGGGGACGTTTAAGCGTCCCAGACTGGAGGAGGACACTTTGTCCCCGTCCTCCGGCGCTCAGGAGGCGCCTCCGCCCAAGGTCCCCACGGCGGCGCGGGGTAGGGGCGGCAAGGGCAGCGGTCGCCGAAAACTGGGAACCGCTGCCTGCGCGGAATCAGCCGGGCAACTGGCTGCGGAGGGCAGGGCTCTTTCGAGCACTGCCCGTTCGGAGTCCTCTGCGGCCGAGATGTCCGGCGTGGAGATGTCGGAGGGCGAGCGCGGCTCTGAGAGCGAGAGCTGCTCCGGGGGCCTCGAACAGGCCATTACGGCGGAGCTCTACAAGCTGGCGATGGGGAAATCCCAGCCGGTTAGGCTCCGCCTCCTCAAGGCGGCGGCGGCCACTATTACGGTGGCGGCCTTGGAGCAGCGTGCGGTGCCCACTGCGGGAAACGTGCGCTCTGAGCTGGCCGAGATGCGGCGAGAGCTGGCGCGCTTGGCTGCCTCTAACGCGGCTCTGGAGGCCGAGCTGCGGACGGCCAGGGCCGAGCTCGCCGCTGCTCGCGGCAGTCGCCCTCAGCCCCCGGCGGAGGCCGACGTGGTCGGACTGCTGCGGGCGGAGATGGCTGCCTTCCAGCGACGTTTCGACGTGCTGGAGGGCAGGCTCTTGCGCCCCCCACTTGCGGCGAGTCAGGTCGCCCCCGCAGTCCCGCGGTCGTACGCGGCCGCTGCGGCCAAGCCTTCGACCTCGGGTCAGGCTAGCCGCAGCTCCCAACCGCCGGCAAAGGCGCGACCGGCTGCCCCAGCGAGGGCCTCGGCGCCCCCGCCGGCGCAGACCCCAGCTGCGCCGACGGCGCCAGCGCCCGCAGGGCGCAAAAAGAGGAGAGGCACTCCAGCCCGGCAGGCTGGAGTTGCGGCAGCGGTGGTGGAACCCGCCCCGCGAGCGGAGGACGGCGGCGGGTGGCAAATCGCCGGCGAGGCGAGGAGAGTCGCCAGGGAGGGCCGGAAGCGCCGCAAGAAGGCGCAGCGGCAGCGACGGCAGCAGCAGCGCAGGGAGAAACGCGCTGCTGCCTTGCTCCTCGCCCCTAAGACCGCGGCTGTAGTGATTACGCTGCAGCCCGAGGCGGTCAATAGGGGCGTCACTTATGGCGACGTCCTCGCCAAATTGAAGGGGGCGGTATCTCCTGCGGAGTTCGGGGCGCCAGACGGGTTCGCGGTCAAGGTGACCGCTACCGGAGCCCGTCTTTTGGAGGTCCCCGGCGCGACCAGCGGCCCATCGGCCGACGCCCTGGCCGAGAGGCTTAGGGCGTGCCTCGGTGCGGACGAGGCTCGCGTGTCCAGGCCCACCAAATGCCTGGATGTCAGGATTCTGGGCCTGGACGACTCCGTAACGGAGAGGGAGGTGGTGGCCGCTGTGGCCAGGACGGGAGGGTGCCCTGCTGACCAAATCAAGGCAGGCGCCATCCGCCCGGACAACTCGGGGCTGCGCACTGTTGTGGTCAGCTGCCCCGTCACAGCGGCCAAGAAGCTGAAGGAGGGCAAAAGGCTCTTGGTGGGATGGGTCTCGGCGCAGGTCAAGCTGCTCGAGACCCGGCCTCTGAGGTGCTACCGCTGTCACGTGGGGGAGCACGTGAGCGTCAAATGCACCTCGGAGGTGGACCGCAGCGACTGTTGCTTCCGCTGCGGTCGGCCCGGTCACAAGGCCGGCTCGTGCAACGCCCCGCTGCACTGCAACGCATGTGCGGCGGCTGGCAAGCCGGCCAATCACCGGGTCGGGAGCAAGGGCTGCTCCCCTCCCGCCAAACCCAAGGGCAAAAGTAGGCCCTCCGCCGCCCCCGTCGTCTCCGCCGCCGCCGCCACTGCCACCGCAGTCGCCGCTGCCGCCACTGAGGAGGTCGGAATGGACTGCCAATAATGGCTCCATTCCGCCTCCTCCAGGCGAATATCAACCACTGCGCCGCTGCTCAGGATCTCCTGCTCCAGAGCATGGCGCAGTGGTCAATCAATGTCGCCGTGGTCTCCGAGCCGTACTTTGTCCCGCCCAGGGATCACTGGGTGGCGGACCTGGACGGCTCGGTGACCATCATCTCGTCGGCCGCCGCCGGTACCCCGACTCTTGAGGCTGCTCAAAGAGGCCGGGGTTGTGTCGCAGCACGGTTCGGAGAGCTCGCTGTGGTGGGCGTGTACTTCTCTCCGAACCGAACTCTCGCCGAGTTCCACAACTCCTTGAGGGAGTTGGTCACTGTCGTCGTCGGGTTCCGTTCCCTCCCCGTGCTCGTCCTCGGGGACTTCAACGCCAAAAACTTGGCTTGGGGTTCCCGGTTCACCGACGTCCGGGGTAGGATGGTGGAAGACTGGGCCCTTGAGACAGGCCTAGTCGTCCTGAACCGGGGTTCTGTCCCCACGTGTGTGCGGATGCAGGGCGAGTCGGTGGTGGACATATCGTTCGCCAGCCCTGCTCTGTCACCGCGTATTGTTGGCTGGCGCGTCATGGAGGAGGTGGAGACGTACTCCGACCACCGGTATATCCGGTTCGACGTCTCCGCCGAGTCCGCAGACCCGCCGGTCAGACAGGCCCCATGTGGCCCGCGTTGGGCGCTGAAACAGCTGGACCGGGAGCTGCTCCTGGAAGCCGCCATCGTGCAGGCCTGGGTGATACCACCGGTCAGGCCTGCCGACATAGACGATGAGGCCAAGTGGCTCCAGGACGCCATGTCCAGGATCTGTGACGTGGCGATGCCCCGGATCCGGTCGAGGCAACAAAAGCGCCAGGTGTACTGGTGGTCGCAAGAGCTAGCAGCTCTACGCAAGGCGTGCACTGCTGCGCGACGCCAGTACACTAGGCACCGCAGGCGCCGCATCCGTCCTCCTAATGCGGAGGCGAGAGAGGCGGAGTTGTACGAGGGATACAGGGCGGCCAAGGCCCTCCTCAAGGTGGAGATATTGCGGGCCAAGGAGGAGGCCCGCCGAGAGATGCTGGGGACTCTGGACAGAGATCCGTGGGGACGCCCGTACCGGATGGTACGCGACAAGCTCCGCGCCTGGGCTCCCCCGCTCACCCAGAGTCTCCGGCAAGAAGTCTTGGAGGAGGTGATTGGCACCCTGTTCCCTCGACTGTGGAGGGGGTTCACCCCTCCGTATATGACTCCGCCCCCTGCGGTGCCCGACGCGGGCTACAGCGACGACGACGACGACATCGTCCCAGAGGTGACCGAGGCAGAATTGAGAGCGGCGGTGCGCCGGATGGGCGCCAAGAACACCGCCCCAGGACCCGACGGCCTGCATGGCAAGGCATGGGTCCTGGCCTCAGAGGCTCTCGGGCCTCGATTGATTGGTCTCTACAGCGCATGTCTGGAGAGAGGCCAGTTCCCGCTTCTCTGGAAAGCGGGAAAACTGGTCCTCGTGCGGAAGACGGGGCGCCCTGCGGACTCTCCGTCCGCGTACCGGCCCATAGTGTTGCTCGACGAGGTGGGGAAAGTCTTCGAAAGAATCATTTCGAACCGCCTCGTCGCGCACCTGACGGACATTGGGCCGGACTTGTCGGACGGCCAGTTCGGCTTCCGCAGAGGGCGCTCCACGGTGGACGCCATCATGCGCGTTAGAGACCTCACGACGGGGACTGCAGTGTCCAGGGGTAAGGTCGTAGTGGCGGTGTCTCTGGACATCGCCAACGCCTTCAACTCCCTGCCCTGGAGCTGCATCTTGGAGGCACTCCGATATCATCGGGTGCCTACCTACCTCCGTCGTGTAATCGAGGCTTACCTGACGGACAGGTCCGTCAGCTACCCCGGTCACCGGGGCGAGTGGAACCGGCGAGAGATGTCACGCGGTGTTCCACAGGGTTCGGTTCTGGGGCCGCTCCTGTGGAACATCGGCTATGACTGGGTGCTGCGCACCGACCTCCCGAACGGCGTTAGCACAATATGCTACGCCGACGATACGCTGGTGCTAGCGCACGGGAGGTCACACCAGGCGGCGGCCGACTTAATGGCGACAGCGGTTGCGACAGTCGTTGAGAGAATCCGGCAGTTGGGACTCGAGGTGGCGCTCCACAAGTCCGAGGCCATGTGTTTTCATGGCCGCGGGAACGCGCCACCTCCGGGTGGGTCCCAAATAACGGCGGGAGGAGTTACCATCGGCGTCGAGACGACGATGAAGTACCTAGGACTCGTCCTCGACAGTCGGTGGAACTTCATTGAACACTTCCGACGTTTGGCTCCAAAGTTGGAGAGGACGGGGGCTGCGTTTAAACGCATCCTCCCCAACCTCGGGGGGCCAAACGCCTCCTGCCGGAGGTTATACGCCGGGGTCGTGCGGTCCATGGCCCTCTACGGCGCCCCTGTTTGGGCGCCTAACCTGTTGCGGCGTCCCGCTCGGACGCTGCTCATGGCACAGAGGGTCATGGCGATCCGAATGATCCGCGGATACCGCACGATCTCTGGGGAGTCGGCGAACCTCCTTGCCGGATTACCGCCGTGGGATCTGGAGGCGAAGGTGCTCGCGCGCGTGCACAGCATGCGCGCGGAGGCACGTCGCCGGGGCGAAACTCCGCTGCCGCGCCAGATAAGTGCGTGGCGGGATGAGCTCCGGCGCGATCTCATGGCGGAATGGCAGCAACGACTGTCGCAACCGAGGGCTGGGCTCGCTGCCATCGCAGCGGTAAGTCCCCTCTTTGAGGAGTGGCTTGAGAGACGCTACGGCGTCCTCACCTACCGCCTGACGCAGGTCCTCACCGGACATGGAAGTTTCGGGAGGTACCTGTGTCTGATGGGGCGGGAGGAAACGCCCGGGTGTCATCACTGCGAGGACCGCCCTGAGGACACGGTGGAACACACGGTGGGAGAATGCCCTTCGTGGGCTGAGCACCGCCGTGTCCTCAGGGAAGTGATCGGCGATGGCGACCTCTCGCGTCCGGGCCTAGTGCAGGCCATGATGCGGAGCGAGGGGGATTGGGATGCCGTCTCCTCCTTTTGCGAAGCAGTCATGCTAGCTAAGGAGGAGGCGGGACGCGTGAGGCAGCGAAGCGCTGCCTCCTCGCAACCCAGCCATCGCGAAGGACACACCGGGCGTCGGGGATCGCGGGACGATCTCCGGCCACCGTAAGCGCGGGCCTGCGGACGGCGAGCATGGGTGGCTCCCCGTCCGACCAGAAACAGACCCGAGCGTACGGCGCGTCGCGTTCCGCGCGCGCCTCAAAGAGCCATCAGACCACCACAGATGGGGCCCAATAGGGCCGATGCCGATTCGGAGTCGCGGAGAACCTAACGGGTAACCGGGGCTCCGGCTCGACGTGCAGGAGAAGGAACGGGGTGGTTTTTAGTCAGTAAGAGTCTGACACTCCCTCCCGCCTCACCCAGGCGGGGGCAGTCATTCGATGATTTTCCCCCCTTAAAAAAAAAAAAAAAAAAAAAAGACTCGTACGCAAATCTGACAAAATAGGGCAGGACGAGGAGCATGACGTGTAGCATGACGAGTAATGTTGCCACACTATGTCTCTGCCTCCTTTCCTCGTTACTTCCTATAATATAATAGTGTGGTAGACGCATTACGAGTAGGTGCAAACGTGAAAGAGGACCTAGTGAGTCCTAGTAACGTATTAGATATTGGGTTTTTACGACCATGAGCAACAAGAAAAAATTTTTGTTTTTTGGATGCCTTGTTTATGGCAATGCACTCACCTCATGGGATTAACGTCATTCGATGCTCATGCTCGGTGCAATTCCTATAGTGTGGGTCTGTGAGTACCTATCCTTAGTAGCAGAATATGTATAAGCGGTTTTCTAGTAATGTAGCCCATTTACAAAAAAAATATATATTCATTATTTGAAAATAATTATGCTAACCCCGTTATAAAGTATCTACGGGTAGACAGAGGTGCACATTACGGCACTTAACGCCACTGTACAATGTAGCACCCACTTTTACTATTTATGTTACGAGTCCCATGTAATAAGGGGTGAGCCTATTGTCACAATTCATAAACTTCCTGTTACTACTGAGTTTTTTTTTAAAACCCTGTACTTTGCCCGGTCAGATAATCGAACCCGAGACGAGACCCCTAGCCCGCCAGTTACACTTACGAACACACGGCCAACGAGGCAGGCAGGGGAATAAAATATGTGCTGATTATATTGATGATGTACTTTGTAAGGTGAGCGTCAATACGAGCAGCGTGTGGAAGATATCAGACTGCTCCGGCTGGAGATCATACGACTGCGCAAGGAGAAGAACTTGCTGTCTAAGGGAATTGAGAACATGACTGATTTGAGGCTCGAGGTGAGTGTCCACGTGATACGTATATTTGCACCTACCGCTTTAACATTCTGCACCACGCAATGGTCGACTGTCAAAAAATGCCTACGACATTAAGTCCGCCAATTTCACTTCACTGTATGTGCAATAAAGTTTAATAAATAAATAAATAATTAAAAAATATTTGTCATTTTGGGTACCTATTTGTTACACAAAGAATAGAAACAATCTGCCCTATCATCATCGTCAATAGCAGGAAGACATCCACTGCTAGAAGTGCTAGACAAAGGCTAAATCTGCCCCGCATCCTGAGAAATGTTTCTGTATCATCTACCTACTTTGCTATGTGATAAATATTACTTAAAATATACATTCACAAATTAAATCATTGTGCTACGTTAAATGAGAGTGTAAATTGCACAATGTGTGAACAATCTGCTGTATACAAAGAGTCGCAAGTTCGATTCCTGCAACCAGAATATGTTCTACAAATTAATAATTGTGGTTGTGTTCATTACTTTTCCAAAAATTTTGTACTCTTAAATCTTCCCCTTAGGGATTCTTAAATTATTGTCCCTTATGTAATTCATTATGTAAATTATACTTTCATTGCATTCCAAGTAAAAGAAAATTATTAAACTGTCAAACACCAAGCGGTCACCGGTGACCGCAACCTATTGTTCTATAATTGTGTCTACATAGACGGTACTCTCGTAACTAAAAGTCGCGGGTTACTCACATGCAAATACTGAGATAAGCTCTACTAGTACCGCGACTTGTAGTTAATTTAGTACGTCTACGACAGTTATTAAAAAAACAGAATATTTTTATTTCCTACTACTACCTATATGTTTAATTTATCTCAGGTATTCAACCTAGAACGCGAGTTAGGTCGCGAACGTCTCCGGGTGCGTGCACTAGAGGAGGCGCTGGAGACTCCGCTGAACGTGCACCGCTGGCGCAAGCTGCAGGGCACTGACCCGGAGAGCGTTCGACTCACGCAGAAACTCAGACTGACGCAGAAGTAAATGCCATTCTTTAACTTTTAAATTTATCTCTATAAATACCCTATAGGTACGGGTACCTACCTAAATGTAAAACCGATTGAGTATATTGATCTAGAAGTTTATCAACAAAACAAATGATATAATCGTGATAGACATGCAGTTTCCTCAGAAGATTAGTTAGGTTAACAACACCGGTGACTAGAATTCGTGAAAAAAATGTTGGGAAAATGTTCTGACATCTATATTCACCTCATTCCTATAATTATTCACCCCTCATTTCTATTCACTCCGTTTTACAGCATTGTCCTTTTTAATTATCTTTTGTTTTGAAAAAAGGTATTAGCATTTTTCTTTTTCTTCTTTGCCAACCGAGGAAAAGGATTAGTAGTTATAAAATGAAGTTAGTACGAATTAGGATCTATGCTCATGACATAACATGTCGAAATATTTGTCGACTATTCGTCTCACACGTCATTGGTATTACCAATCCTCGATTTTACCAAAATTATGCACATAATACGTCATTATAGGGGCCAAATAGTAATTAATCTATATTGGAAGTACTCAGTAGGATTTCACAAGTATTAAACAGCGCGTAAAACAAACGAATTGTAAATTTGTCTACTAAGAATCGTAAATTATTTGTACAAAACAAATATTTTTGTGGGTATTTCGGCGCGTAACTTCATCGTAACTACTTAATCTACATTGACTAAAAATATTTGTTTTTGTTGAATCATCTCTCATTTGTGACGATTTCCTGTTATTACTTCTTGGGGATTTTTAATACCACATGCCCATGGTGCAGTTGAATCAAGTTCTCAGTGAACCTTTTTCACATTTCTGAATTGATTTTTTTAATGGGGCGAAGGCCAAGTTCATATCTTGTGATCAGGAATCGACAAAGCCTGAATCGGAGTCGCAGAGAACCTAATGAGTTACCGGGGCTCCGGCTCGACGTGCAGGAGAAGGAACGGGGTGGTTTTTAGTCAGTAAGAGTCTGACACTCCCTCCCGCCTCACCCAGGCGGGAGCAGTCATTCGATGATTTTTCCACCTTAAAAAAAAGCTCAGCCTAGAAGCAAGCACCTCATAGGCTCCACTAATTATTTTTTGGCGCTCTCGCCGCTGGGCATTTAGGTATGCGCGTCTCGCGACCCCTGTAACCTGGCGCCCTAAGCCTAGTTTGCCTTGTCGCGGAGAACCTAACGGGTAACCGGGGCTCCGGCTCGACGTGCAGGAGAAGGAACGGGGTGGTTTTTAATCAGTAAGAGTCTGACACTCCCTCCCGCCTAACCCAGGCGGGAGCAGTCATTCGATGATTTTCCCCCTTACAAAAAAAAAAGGCCTAGTTTGCCTAAGGGATAATACAGTCACAGTGAGTCTTGTGACTTATGTGCTTTATATTATGGCAGTCTATATATGGCGGCGAGTATTGCAATAAAACAATATCTATCGGCTAACACGTCCGTTTATTAATGCTCTCTTTACAATACTGAGTACGATGCTGATGTGCTGTAGGTCCACTTAAAAAATTTCATTTAAAATGGAGTTCAATATAGGGTATAAAACATTTCAAACCTTAAGTACTGTTTATATTGATGGAGTCTTGTCACGCGTAGTATCGTGTTTTAACAATAATTACTGGCCGTGCTAATTAGCCACACAGCCGACGTTACAAGCTAGATTCATTGAATCATGTTTTCTGTTATTATTGGCTAAATTGCTTATGAAGATAATCCTGCGATTATGAAGAGTAAACCTAGGTACTCGTATAAATTAAAATGATGTTATGAGAGCTGTACGTAAGCTATATTTATGACAATCACTTTTGAAAAACAGTTGTCTGTTGTTGAGCTAGAAAGAAATAAAGAAAAATTTATTTGTCAGAATGTAGTTACAATCGGTGTTTTATCTTAATTAATGTCTTATAAGGTACATTCTACCGAATCGGTGTACAAATATTATACTTATTTTCTACTTATATACTTATTACTTATTTATGTACTATTCCACAACAATGTTTTTGCAATCATTGTCATCGAGAAAATCTGTAGTTGAGTAGTAGCACTTATTTAACAGAAACATAAGTAAATTTGTTCTGAATGACGTTTAGTTAAGATTTTTTAGGTCATTTGGAAGCCTATAGCTACTTTATAAGCTACTTTGAAATACAATAGTATTTAAATTTATTATTATGTTTTCGGGTTACTGATGTAACTGTTTGACTAGAAACTCGACTAGTTTCAAGCCGTGCTAGAGGCTTATTATAGGTATTCATGCGCGGCCGCCGACGAACGAGCCTAACGTGCCATCGGTGGCGCGTGCGCCGCCACAGATGAAGGAAAGTGAAGAAACATAGTATTTATATTTTAGGATTTTGTAGATGGTCAATGTAGACACAATAGAAAATACATTGTGTCTCAAATACTGTTCCGGCATACCACGGGTTAAAAATTACGAATGACTATTCCTAAGTTAAAACTAGGTACATCGATTTCTCAAGCATTTATTACTACCGTGTGTGCAAACACCCAGATTCGTTTCGATATCTAACAGGTTTCTTTCCATCTGCAAACAAATACATAGACAAGCTCCTACTTAAACTATTCAACTATTCAGGCAGCCGACACATGCTTCTATTGGTATTACCAGTCCCCATTCTCTTTAGAAAAAAGCAAATTTTTCATCTCTTTGAAATTTCAATCTCGATCACAGAATAATTGTAGACGTGGTAAACAATTACCAAGTAACAATTTTAACAAATCAAGTCCTGATTAGCACCACGGGTACTAAACTTGTTACGTCGAAGCTTCAATTATTGTCATTTCAGAACAATCTTGTCTAATTATCACCCAGCAATTTCTTCCAAAAACGGCTACAGTTAACAATACTTGTTATAATGATTAATCCAATCTTTGTAAGTCCAGTCACGTAGGAAACTAAGAGGTAGGAGAAATCTAATTAGCTGATAATCAAGCCCTTGGGAAATAAAGTACCTAGGGTTTAAATTGAACTTTAATTGGACTGTAAGGACGGGACTTCGATAAATCAAACAAGATGTTAATCGTTACACGTTCTGTTTATTAATCCTCCCTCCTCTCCAGAGATACAGTTTATATTCTTATGCACTAATGATTAACTACTACGTCACACGCCCTATCAAAAATAAAAAAAAAATAAAAATATGAAAACTTTGTTTTTTTTTTTTTTTTTTTTTTTTTTTTTTTTTTTTTTTTTTTTTTTTTTTTTTTTTTTTTTTAAAGCAATTAGCACAAAAATGATTAATTATAGTATAGAGATTAAATAAGGATACATTTCTCTTTGTAGTATACAATTAAAAGTACTTATTATATGATTATAATGTACCTAATATCTAATATCATATTCAATACACTCTAAAACTAAACAATAAACAATTTCATCATTAGATAAACTTCATTTGATACC